CCGCCCGGCGCCAGGCACGCTGCGGGGCACAACCAGGGGGGTGACGGCTGCGTCCCCCAACCCGTGGGGTGGCGGGGGGGGACACACACGACCCGCCGGTCCCTCACCTCGCGGAAGGGCACGGTGACGGTGGTGGGGACGCCGGAGGGGAAGGTGGCACCGGAGAAGTGCTCCAGGAGGATGCCGTTGCCCTGCAGCAGGACGTCGGGCTGGCGCGGCAAAGGCTGGGCGCCCGGTGGTGCCCGGTGTGTCACCGTGTACTGCAGCTCGCCGCCGTACGATGTCACCTGCGGGGTGGGGGGACATGCCTGGGCTCAGTCGGGCTTTGGGGGGACATCCACCTCGTCCCCCATGCCATCCCCGGCGCTGGCACCTTGTCCCCGGCGAAGGGCGCGGGCAGCACCCAGTAGTAGACGTCGCGGGGCAGCGGCTGGAAGGCGTCGAAGAGCAGCTCCCGTGGGGAGGAGAAGCGGGCACCGTCGCCCACCGTCTGCGTGCCAGCCAGGTTGGCCAGGCTCAGCGGCGGCGTCTCCTCGGCCGTGAGGACCACCTGGAATGGGAAGGGGCTTAGTGGTGGGCATGGCATGTTACAGCATGACACAACATGGCACGGCATGACACAACATGGCATGGCATGGCACTACACAGATGGCATCGCACAACACGGCATGGGATGGCATGGTAAGGCATGGAGTGTCATAACGTGGCACACATGGCGTGGCACAGCACAACATGGCACAGCAAGGCATAGCATGGCACAACACAACATGGCACTGCATGGCATGGCATGTTACAGCATGACACAACATGGCATGGCATGACACAACATGGCATGGCATGGCACAACATGGCACTGCATGGCATGGCATGTTACAGCATGACACAACATGGCACGGCATGACACAACATGGCATGGCATGGCACTACACAGATGGCATCGCACAACACGGCATGGGATGGCACGGTAAGGCATGGAGTGGCATAACGTGGCACACATGGCGTGGCACAGCACAACATGGCACAGCAAGGCATGGCATGGCATGGCACAACATGGCATGGCATGTTACAGCATGACACTAAATGGCATGGCATGGCAGTACACAGATGGCATGGCACAACATGGCACAGCATAACATAGCACTACATGGTACAACATGGCAAGACATGGCATGATGTGGCAAGACATGGCACAGCATTGCAGAGCATGATGTAACATGACATGGCATGCCACAACATGGCATATAATGGCATGGCACGACACGACATGGTGTGGCATGGCACCACATGGCATGGCATAACGTGGCACAACACGGCATGGAATAAGATGGAATACAATGGCACAGCATGGCTTGACATGACATAGTATGGGACGGCACAGCATGACATGGTACAACATGGCATGACATGGCACAACATGGCAAGACAAGGCACGACATTGCAGACCATGACATAACA